TACGACCTGGGATGCCGTCTGGTCCTGCTGCTTTCCTGGTGTTCACTCTCTTGAAGGCTCTCCTTACTTCATGCTCGGAGATGACGAGCACGTTTCCGGTGCTGGCAGTATCTTCCTATCTGCAGCCGTTAGCGCCGCTAGTACTAGCATTGTTGTAGTAGCATTTAAACTATGTAGCATAGTTTAAAGCTTCCGAGCTGCCGTCACCTTAGAAATAAACAGCAGGGTGAAGTAAAGTGAAACGCCCACTTTTAGATTGATGATGTGCCACAGTGCCACCCTTTCCCGTGAACGCGCAGGAGAAACCTGGGTTAACTTAGCAAGTTAACAACCAGCCTAGTGTGGTCGGTTATCCTGATCAGCGGTGTTAGGGTAAGTGAATCCACATCACAGAAACGTAACCCGGGTGTGATTAACACACTTCGCCCTGGGCTCAGAGCGGTTAGTTATCACATGCTGCAGAGCTTTGTGTTTGTTAGCTGTTCTTTACAAACTCATATATTTTAATAGAATTTCAATTATGGAAGGATGGAATAGGATATAAGCATCCACGGCGCAGGATTTACACGGATGCGTTTCAGATCGTCTCTAAAGCCCAGCTCCGTCCTCAGCCAATGAAATCTCGCTGTGCAAACATACCGAGGGTGACGTGTTGCCCGCTGATGGATTTATTGCCCACCGGCAATCAAACTGTTTGTGCTGCTATTTGTTTATTAATTTATTGCGCGGGGTCGTTCTCCTCTGAGGTATCACGTTCGATTTTCGTCCCCCAGCGGGAGCGCGCAGACAGACCCACAGAAGAAGTGTGTGCCCGACCCAAAGCATGCATAAACAAACACATCGCCAGACGCCACTGAGTTGACCTGTAAGTTTGTTCAGATCCTGCTGATTCTTATTAAAAGAGAAATAATGAGGACGAGACACTGCTGAGTCTAAAGACTGCAGATTCGTGTTTACATTATGTGAAAAAGTGAAGGTTTGGCTGTAACTGTGTGGGCACCGCTAATCTCGTGATGCACAGGTCTATACAAGCCTAGATGCTAAACATTTTTCTGTTTGTTTTTTAGATATTATTAGATAGACCCCATCTTTGTCATTTAGTTCATGAAATAATGAAATAAAGTGACTCATCTGTGAAAAAGAAACATTAACATTTCAACATTTAGGGAGCTAAAGGAGTGCACATAAATGCTCAAGAGAATGTGTATTTGAGCGTCTTTCAGCACACAGTTATTATAATGTTATATCTGATTATCAAACTCTAAACATGTCCATTTGCTCACTTAGGTTTGACAGTCTCACTCTGTTTGTTCTTGCACATCCACCTAAGGGTGCAGGGAGATCTTTGAGGCTGTGCGGCACATGACCAGTGGAGAACTCTGCCTGCAGCACTGAGCTCTTTTAGAAGTCAGCTAAAGACTTAAATACTAATGTTATGGCGTGTATCATCCCCCAACTGAACCAACCCCACTCTGCACGTGCGTGGGCGCATGCTTTTCCCCCAAATCATGACTATGCTCACTCATTGTTTAATGTTTAATTGCAATTAATTTTGTCAAACGCCAAAAGATGTTACTAGCATGTTTTAAATTTCTTTTTAAATTGTCGATCTAAAAATGTCTCAGTGACAATAACAGCAAAAGAGTGGACATCTGTTAGGAGCATCTGTAATGGGATAAAATGTGTTTTTTCATCATTCAGACTGATGTGATTACATGAAATGGTCCCTTCAGTATTGCTGCTGTGAGAAAGAAGTTTTGACACATACTAGTTTTTAATAAAAGGTTTGAAACAAAACTGTAATATTCTCTTTTGGCTGGATGGTTTTTGTTTGTTTTACTTTTCATTGTCCATGTTTGTTTGATAGTCACATCTTCCGACAGAGTAGCGCTGTCGACAAAGTAAAACAATCCCGTGAAACTTTATTTTTCTGCTGTATAGTTTTGTTACTAACCACAGTGGCGCAGTGGTTAGTGCCACACAGTAAGGTTGAATCCACCGGCCTGCCGGTGCTGTCTGTGTAATCTCTGGCCTGTGTGGGTTCTCTCTGGGTACTCGGGCTTCCTCCCACAGTCCAAAGACATGCATGCATAGGTCTGGTTAATTGGTGATTCTAAATTAGCCTGAACTGTGAATTGTTGTCTGTCTTTATCTGTCATGTCAACAGTTCCTTTAAACCTCAGCTTTCAGCATGCAGAGGGGTTTCCAGGCAGGCCTCCTGCTCCTGCTTGTCCAGCTGTTCCAGGAGGGTCCGGGAAACATCCCAGCCATCACCCTGGCTGTCCTGGGATTCAATGTGTACCTGTACGTGTTTCCTCCTGCTCCACCACTGAAGGTAACTCCCCACTGTAACATTATATTATATTATATAGATTTAATAAGAGTGGTATGATGAAATGATGGGATTTAAAGATGGGGTCGTCTGATTGTTGGAGTTTCTGTGAATTATTGTAAAGTCTTTACTTCATGATATGAAGCGCCTTGATGTGACTGTTGCTGTGACGAATAAAATAAAATTGAACTGAGGAAGCTAGCCAGCCAAATACACGTAGACATCGAGGGCTCTCGGGAGGGGCTATACGCTAACCTGCTGCTCTCTGGCAGGTAGCTCCATGCCCTCCTGGGTTTTAAATGCACCTTAGAACACACATGCATCAACACTACATATGAGCGGGCGGAGGGAGGTTTGGAGTCTTCACACACTCCCGTTTTCTGTTGCCTGTTGGAGCGGGGGGGCTGGGAGGAGGAGCTGGCCGTCCGATTGGGGTCTGGAATGTGGGGCCTCCCTGCTGCTGCCGAGTTGGGAGCGGTCTGCTTCTCTCCACCCCAGGGAAAAGGGTGACACCTCCTGGGTCTGGGTGCAGTTTCCCCCCTCCAGGGCCAAGCGTACCTAGACCGGGGGTATAAAGTACACTTGGGGAGTGTGATTGTGTGTACATTGTCTATTTATGTCTGTCTCCACGTTGGGTGAGTGCTGAGTAATTGCATATGTGTGCATTGGAGGGGGGGGGTCGTATCTGTATGTGCCTGGGTCCTGCAGCTAAAACACAAGTCCAACTCTCACTTGCTGATGATCAGTTAACCAATGACATTTGATAGCAGCACCTCTCTGCTACTTAAAGTGTACCTGTTGGGACAGAAATTAACCTGTAATTTTATAATTAGTTTATGAACAAAACGTTGAGTGAAGCGATTGCATCTTAGACTGACTTTCTTCAGAATCAGAAGTTGTTTTTATTTGAAATAAGCAGGAGAACCAGAAAATGGCAGGCATTCGGATGACAGGCAAAAATACATAATTAAGTCATAAAAATTGAAGATTATCTTCCCGGTTGAAGAGAATCATGTCTTTAACGATGAAACAACGAGTCTGAACAAAAAATGGAAAAACCCTGAGGTGAACCTTTAAACAGAGAGACAGGCGAGAATTTTGTTGAATAATTTAGCAACAGAAAGAGGAAACTGGATTTAAAAAAAACAAACAGCCCACATGGCGGTGCTTCTGTGACAGCCAACACCTGCATGGCTGCAAACAGAACTGACAAACTGCTTTTTGTTCATGGTTTTTCTGCTGACGAATATAATAAAAGGTGTGCAGGAGTATTCTTCATACTGAACCATCGGCTGAAACATCCTGCCTTCAAAGTCGCCTGTCAATGATTTTGGATTCACATTATTGATGTATTAAAAAGAATCAAAAGCAGGTTTTGTTGCATACGACTGTTTTTACTTTGTATCCAGGCTTGCATGAGCCTTGATCAGGTGTACCGAAATAAAGAGTGGCGACGCCTCTTCCTGTCCCCCCTGCATCACATCGATGATTGGCACCTTTACTTCAACATGGCGTCCTTCCTGTGGAAAGGCATGAGGCTGGAGCGACGTCTGGGTGGACCTTGGTTCCTGTACCTGCTGTCAGTCTTCTTTCTGCTCACTGGATTGGTGTACCTGCTGCTGCAGGCGCTGATGATTAAGCTCATGGAGGGCACGGATTCTTCTGATCCATTATTGGAATATGTGCAGGCTTTCAGCAGAGAGTGTGCTGTCGGCTTCTCAGGTACAAACTCCCAGCAGTAGTAGTGATTCAAAGGAAGAAAATCTAGATGTATGTATAACAAGATAAGATAAAAAAGTACTTTAAGTAACTGTTAAATAAAAAAGCGAAGGAGTGATCCATCAGCACCAAAATTATCAGCATAAATTTTTTTAGACGTGATTAAATATTAACTTTTGAAGTATAATGTAAAATTTTGGTAGTTGAATGTGTTGATCTGTGGAACCAGCATCCCAATACAGGAAGTCTGGATTGGCTCTCTGTTCAAATAGACCAGTCACTGATCCTATGGGTTGTACCCGGTAGGCAGTGCAGAGCTTGGATGCAGATGGGTGAGGGCACTAAATTCTGACTGCCCCTGTCCTCCAGATGTCCACCCTGCCCTGCAGACCCGGGTAACCTTGCAGGCCCACTTTCAGGCCACCAACCACACCTGTTGGGGCAGCTCCCCTCTAGCTCAGTGCTCTTGGAATATGACTGGGTTTAGTTTAGTGACCTTGTCCACAATAACATTTAAGTGGATACTGGTGAAACGTGAATAAACTCAAACACTAACAGAAACCAACTAAGACCAAGGATCCTAATGACCTCATACAAGTTAAAGATACAAAAACACAGATGAATAAAAGACAGCTAAAATACTTAAGAACAAAATGAATCAACTAGAAAAAAAAACTAGAAACAAAAACAAAACGTAAATCTAAAAACAATAAAATATACAAAGGAGAAAAAAGGCCAAAGCCAAAAGAAAAACTTTTTTTTTTAAAAACTATAAGAAACTCATAGTACAGAAATAATAATATACTACAATCCACTCAATAAGAATTCTAAACCGTGTCGGGAGCATTGGAGCAGTTGAGACACATTTTTTCTAAACACCGGGTGTCTCTAGCTTTTAAACCCCAAAACACGCTGCGCCAAAACTGGTCCACCCCAAGGATCGGCTCCCCCGACACGAACAGAGTAACATAGTGTACGCTGTTAAATGCAGGAGGATTGGCAGGATTTATACATCGGGGAAACCAAACAACCTCTGGCAAAGCAGATGGCACAACACAGAAGAGCCACCTCGTCAGGACTCTGCAGTATATTTACACCTACAGGCCAGTGGACACTCTTTCAGTGATGAGGATGTAACATCCTGGACAGGGAGGAACGCTGGTTTGAGGGCGGAGTCAAGGAGGCCATTTACGTGAAAAGGGAAAGACCATCTCTGAATCGAGGAGGGGGCCTAAGGGTA